TGGGGTATGTTTTTAATATTTCTTGCTAACTTGGTGTTAGGTTGTATTCTTTACAACTTTTCTGATTTTATTTTTAATAGATAATAATGGCCGGGTATGGTGGCTCATTTCTATAATCCCAGCACTTTGGGAGGCCAAGGTAGGCAGATTGCTTGAGTCCAGGAGTTCAAGACCAGCCTGGGAAACATAGGGAGACCCCCCCCCCAACTCTACAAAACATAAGAAAAGTAGTCAGATATGATGGCATGTGCCTGTATTCCCAGCTATTTTCAGAGGGCTGAGGTGGGAAGATTACTTGAGCTTGGGAGGTTGAGGCTGCAATGAGCTGTGATTGCACCACTGCTCTATAGCCTGGATGACAGAGTGAGACCGTGTCTAAAAAAATAAAATGGATGATATATCCACATGATTCAGAATTGAAGAGGTACAAAATAATATGCAGTACACTCTGTCTCCCCAAAAAAACAAATAAAAACAACAAAAAAAAGACAAAAACAAAAAACAAAAAGCAAAAAAACTCTTTCTCCCCACTGTGACTTAGTTACCTTGTGTTCTTCCCTGAAGGCATCCAGAAGCCAATTTTGTTTGTTTCAGCTTCTGGAGATGGCTTATGAAAATATAAATAAATTCATCTATATTCAACACTCTTTCAGAAGAAATGATACCTACTATACAACTGCTTTCTGTGCACCTTGCTTTTTTTTTTTTTTTTTTAATACTTTGGCCTGATGATTTTTCTATATTGGCATGAAAATAACTTCCTTTTTCTTTGTTAATTGGTGGTTTTTATGGCAAACAACTGAATCCAGCCTAGATGGTTAAGTCAAAAAGGGATTAGGATTTTAGGTAACTCATGGAACCCTTTGGAGGGCTGGAGGAACAGGCTGGCATCTGAGTGCACAGAAACAAAGCCCCAAGGCACACATAGTATTAGTATTAAGTGGAAGCCACCCATGCTGCTGCCTCCACTGAACAGCAGATGCTAGGTATTTGATATGAGTGCAACTGCTTCTACCTCCACTCCTGCACAAGGAAGGCAGCCTAGTAGTGACACCTGCAAAAGCAGAAGCTCTGAGCAGAGCCTCTTGCCTTACATTTCTCACTTCTGTAGCAAAGTCTGGTGTGGATGTGTCTGATTAGTGGAGGCTAGGTGACACATTTGCATCTTAGCTTCAATCGAGTCTGGGAATTTTATTCTCAACTTTTAAACTGGGAGGTGGGACTTGTAATAGGTAAAATTTCTACAAATAGAGAAGGACTTCAAAAGATGATGGAGTCACAGATATGGCAAATGTCCACTAGAGCCGCTTAGAATTCCATTGTGTGGATCAACCACAATTAATTAAACTAATATCTTAGATGGTGGACCTCTAAGTGTTTTCTAGTTTTCTAGTCTGTGACTTAGGCAATACTGTATTAATGACCACATGCATATGTCATTTTGCTAATGTAAAATGGAATATGAATTTTTAGCTGTAGAATTGCTAGATCAAAAAGTAAATTTTAATTCTTATGGATATTGCCAAATGGTTTCTGGATGCTGTACTGATCCTTGCTTCCACTAGTGATGTTCCCAATTTTTTTTTTTTGCCCAGAGTCTTCTCCTTTTTTAGATTACATCTGAGCCAGAGTGGCAGGCTGAGTCTTCCCTGCTACTGGAGTGAGTTTTGGGCCTTGGGCCAAGAATGCTGACAAATCAGATCTGGGCCATAACCTAGGCCAGTATAGCTTGTATTTAGCATCTGGACTGGATTTGGCTTATAGTTTATTGTAGGCTTACTAGACCTAAATTAAATGGCATCTTGTGGGATTTAAAAGATAACATAGCTTCCAAAATTGATTTGCAAGGTAGGAGTAGCTTACATCTTGGATCATTATGTGTTCACAGATGCATAAAGATGTTTTCAAAGAATGTTTCTAAAGAATTATAACACCCTTTCTCTTTAAAAAAGCAAAATTTTATTTCTTTTTTTTTTTTTTTTTTTTTTTTTTTTTTTGAGACGGAGTTTCGCTCCTGTTACCCAGGCTGGAGTGCAATGGCGCGATCTCGGCTCACCGCAACCTCCGCCTCCTGGGTTCAGGCGATTCTCCTGCCTCAGCCTCCTGAGTAGCTGGGATTATAGGCACGCGCCACCATGCCCAGCTAATTTTTTGTATTTTTAGTAGAGACGGGGTTTCACCATGTTGACCAGGTTGGTCTCGATCTCTCGACCTCGTGATCCACCCGCCTCGGCCTCCCAAAGTGCTGGGATTACAGGCTTGAGCCACCGCGCCCGGCGCAAAATTTTATTTCTAATATGTGAATAGAATATGGGAGCTGGTGTGTGAAGGTGTGCGTGTCTGGAGACGGGACCTGAAACAGTCGAGGCAAGAGCAAAGAATCTGGATTTTGCTAGCTGGAGCAGAGGGATAGTAGAAAATAGGGGTGCTTTTGGAGAATTCTTTCAGGCCCTCCCACTAAGAGTTTTTACATTGTTAAATATTTCTAAGGAAACCTTTAATAATACTTGAAAGAGAAAAGCTTATTTAAACTTTTGAATAGTTCTGAAAATTTATTAGATTTCAGCCAGGAAAGAAAGTATTATTTCAGGCAAACTGGAGCATGTGTGGACTGGTTACTCAGCACAGTAACCTAATCTTGCAGAATTAGGTAGGAGGGAAGCTATTTTAGTGGCATTCACCCTCCTTCCAGAACTTTGTTCATATTTCTCCCAAATGGTCGGTGAATTTTTCTGATTTGTATCCAGCATCCCAGCCATTTAATGTACATCTGTAAGCTGTAAGGAAGCTGATTTCGTCTATTCCTTTTTTTCCCTTCTCTTGCCTTCCACCTGAGAAAACACTAGTCCATAGGTTCTTATTCTTTATTAGGAATTTGCACAATACGTAACCTAAGATGGATCCAGCTGGAAGTGTTACAGGTTTGGAATTTAGACTAAAGAAAAGGGGTAGAATCTTTTCATTTTTTTCCCTTTATTTTGAAGAAAGCTCAGTGATTTGTACTGTTTGAAGGAACAATGATATAAAAGATCTCCACTAATTGAGTATCTGGGATAAACTTTGTTTTTTATTTCCACCTTATTTTCTTTAGATACCATTAGACATTTCTACCCACAACTTAGAGCTTTTCCATGAAGACTTTAAATTTAGAAAACTTTAAAACTTGATGAATGAAAAACACCTTTTAGAACTAACCTGTTGCATTTTTTTGGTTGTTTTTAATTCAGAACTCCTAGACTTGTGAGGCTCTATGTGTAAGTTCCAAAGGCTTATAATTCTTTTCTCTTCCTTGAGGCTTGAATATTTCAGAATGTTGTTGGCATGTCTCTTGGAGGTTTGGTGTACAAAAAGCAAGAAAAGTAACCTATGGGCTTTACTCACTTGTGTGTATGTATTCTACTTTGGCTCCAAAGCAATGATTCTAGTGGTGATATGGGACCAAGGGACAGTTTTCAAGGTAAATAAGGTCATTTGCTAATGTCAGCTTAAGGTCTTAGTCTTCAAGTACCATAAATGTTTTACCAGCAATTTCAGTTATCTGTAGTAAAGAGCTTTCCAGTTTGACATGGTAGTTATGGTAATGGAACAACTGAAAGTTAGCTTGATAGAAAATTAACAATCACAGAAAATACAGTTGTTATTTTTTTCATATACCAAGGATTACTATTTTTTTTCTTTTTTAAAAATAGAGATGGGGTCTTTCTATGTTGCCCAGGCTAGTCTTGAACTCCTGGCCTCATGCAATCTTCCTTGAGGCCTCCCAAAGTGCTGAGATTATAGATGTGAGCCATTGTGCCTGGCCTACAATTTCTTAATATTAGGAGTTATTCTGCAAGACCACTATCTTGATGTTGGAACTATACTAATGTTGATGTGTTTTTTTCCATGTGTGGGATATCTTAAGATGTGTAAGATGTGTAATATATATATTCACAATAAAGACTATGTTATAAAACTCAGAGATATTTTATTTTTGAGGGTATGTTTCATTCACTTGATTGAGAATTTATTGACTGTATCTTGGGTGGCTATCCTTATGCTAGGAGATGAATGGAAGTTACCCCCTGCCCTTGAAGAGAAGACATTTTCATGGGAAGCAGAGATAAGCAGATAATTATAATGTGATAAATTTGGAAATAGTCACAAAAAATTTGAATATGGAGATTTTGAAAAGCACGCACCCATCACCAAACTTAACAATTACTAACTCTTGGTTATGCTTCTTTCACCCATGTGCCACACCTCCTCCCCTTCCTCCTTTTATTTTGAAGCAAGTCTAAGACAGTGTATCGTGTGATGGACATTAACAGATACTTGGATAGAGTACTCTGAGAGTATATTGGGAAAATAAGCTGTATCAGGGAGGTGGAAAGGAGCTACAGAAAAGTAACATTTGAGTTCAATCTAGGTGGGGAGGAGGATGTTATTGTTCCAGGTGATGGGATGGAAACTGACAATTATTACAATGTCTTAAAAAATGTGTGTATAGAACTTTTTTGTTCCTCCGAACTGAGCACCCAAGATGTAATTTCAAAGATTAGGATATTGTTTTGCCTGAGGACTTTATAAAAATAATTAATTCACTTTTAATTTAGATAAACGAATAATCCGTGAATAGTGGTAATGACTAATCTGCTCTCTTTTCACCCTAGTGACTTTCTAGACTTTGAACATTAGCATCCACTCCCTGAAAAAGTCACTCTCATTTGTAACCAGAGCAACAGCTAGCCTTTGTCACCTTTATTTTTCTCTTTGGAAGAGGAGGAATAATCAGTGACTCACTTCTGAAACATCATGCATAGGTAGAATTTAGTAATCTGAATCAAAAGCCTCCCTGCAAACGAAAGGAAGAGGAAATTGACCCCTGGGTACACATGGGTTCTCAAGGGACTTTTTTGATTAGCCACTGGATGAAACCCTTGAGATTTCCTCACGTATCTTATCTCATTTTCCTGTGGTGAAATTGGGTGTTGAGCATTGTTTTTCTTGTCTGTTCTCAGATCACAGAACTGTGTGGTGCAAAGCGGGTTGGTTATTTTGGTCCAACGCAATTTTACATTGCCCTGAAATTAATTGCTGCAGCACAATCTGGCCTCCCGGTGCGGATAGAGAGTATTAAATGTGGTGAGTATCTCACATTTGTATGTTTTATTGTCCCTGGAGAGTTGCTCATTTATAAGAACCATTTTTAGTGGGTTTAAACTTTTGTGGAATTTCTCCTTGCTTCTTCCAACTCTTCTGCAAAACAAAATAAGAAAACTTAGCAGGTAGGTAGCTTAGTTTCTTTCTTTTTTAAATGGGGGAAAAATTCAGAGAGTAAGCTGAGATTAGTTCATTTTAACTGATTTACAGTTAAAATAGATTTTATTCTTTAGCAGGATGAGATTGGGCCAGGAATTCTAGAGCCTGTGGGAAATAATCACACTGAGTTTAATTTTCCACTTGAGGTATCTATAATGTTATTGAAGGCTCTGTTAGGGATTAGGGGAAGAGTAACAAGGGAGTTTGAGTGGAATCATGCCTTTTCTCTGTTTCCCATCCCTGCCAGTGCTCAGCCTTTAATTCTCAGTTCCCAAAGCACTATTCTGATGCTAGTAAGTTCTACCAAAATTTTGGCAGAATGAATTTATCTTCTTAAAGTTCTGATTTAATATTTTCTTATCTTGCCATCTCTGCCCTCAACCCACTATATGCTTGAGCACTTTCTACAATTTAAACAAAAAGCAAAGCCCCCAACTATTAGCGATATTTCTACTGCCTCAGGATTGGTTTTAAAAATCTGTGAAAAAGATGGTTATTCAAGGGATGTACCAAGGTCCTCTGATAATTCACTGTGATACAGATTACTTTCATATGTCCATACAGGTACACAGAAACTTTTTTTTCCTTTTTCTCATTCTGAGATTAAAAACCTCTTTACTATTCACACCTGTCCTGTGAAGTCTGATTGACATACAAGTGGATTCAGGATTTATGGCCAGCTCATGGAAACCACATAGGACAATCCAAATGGCTGAAAAGATTGCCATAGATGGCTGGCTGTGGAAGACCAAGCCCTTCACACTAACCAATCAGGAGGTGGCAGTCATCATGCTAATCTTTATTAGGGGGCTATCGTGTGCCAGACACTGTTTCATTTAGTCCTCATGACACCCTACTAGATTAGGTATTTGTGTCAGTTTGCATTGCTTAGGATAAGCTGCGATAACAAATGCTGTTCACAATGTCAGTGCCTCAACAAGATGGAGGTACATTTCCTACTTTGCAGTGGGTCACTGTGACCCAGGGCAGCTGCCCTCTGTGTGGTGACTATGTGATACTAGCTGCTTTATCTTGTGGTACCTCCAATACAACACCTGTTCCCCATCTCACCCTAGTAGTTAAACACTTTGGCCTAGACATGACTGAAGTTATTGCTGCCCACATTGTGTTGGCCAGAACTTGTCACATTAATCTGCTTCAATGCAGAGCAGATGGGATAACACAGTTCTCTCCTGTGCCTGCAAGGAGAGGACAACTGCAAGTCTCTACTGTGGTGCTGCTGTTGTTCGTATCTTACAAATATGGAAGTTTGAACATTAGGGAGGTTGAGTAACTTACCTAAGAAGATAAGGTTAGTAGAATTTGGAGCCAGGATCTACTTCCAGTCCCCATGCTCTTAATTTCTATGCAAAATAGCCTTGTTTCAATTTTTTCTATTTAGTAAGATGCTGATGGTAATCTGTTATCATGTAATATTTTCTGAATGGGGAAAATATCGGACTCGAAAGGCATCCCTTGGTATGACAGAATTTGGTTCTTTGGAATAGGTTTCTTGATGGAGTGTCATTTGACAGGCAGGCTTAATGTTCATTGCTGCAAGACATAGCGGTCATTTGCTTTGATTAGTTGAAAGTTACATCACATTGAATTTGGATTTGTGGTAGGCACTGATAGTTTTTATTTCATTGTAAATTATCATTACACTTTATTATAGTATCTTCCAATTTTTTGTTCTGGGAAAGTTAGAGCTGTTTTATTGTATACAGAATAAACTTTTGTTGTTTATTTTAAGTTAGACTTAAGTCTTTTACCTGATTTGTGCCCAGATTGGCAGCTAAATTTCCTGAGGGCAGGGAGCAGGATTGTTGAAGTTATCACTTGGGTAAAGGATTAACAGTTTATCACAAATATAAGGCTTTCTCAGTTTTGTTTTATAAACCCATTGCTGCCTTTTACCTCTGAAGATTTACATATATCCAGAGTTAATGCTGAATTATCTTCCTTCATTTAAAGATTGATCAAATATAAATTATTTGCAGTTAGCATATGTTGAAGAAGAATTAGGGCAAGATTGGGCCAAACTTTCAGCTGTCACTTAGAATTTTCCAGTTTGTTGCTTGAAATCTATTAGCTTAATGCCTGATGACACAAATCTTGAAAGCCAAAGAGATCACTGCGAGAACCTAATATGAAAGGGGGTGCTAGCCTCATCACACCCAGGGCATCATATCCAGGGAGTTGTGGATGGATACCCTTATGTCATGAATAACATGCACCTGTGTGAATATGCGTGACCCTCTAACACCCAGTCCTTTCCGTTTTGGTGAATGCCACCAGCATCCACAGTTGCACAAACCAGAAACCCAGTAGTCATCCTGGATTCCTTCTTTACCCTCACCTCTTAATAGAATCCATCAAAAATCCTAGCAGTGTGGCTCCAAACTCACTGCCTGTTGCCTCTATCTCTTTGTCCCTACTAAACCAGGCAACCTTCAACTACTTACCTGGATATCACAATGGACTGGCTCCCTAGCCCCTCCTCTTGTCTCTATTGTGATCTCTTTTCCCACCTTTTTTTTTTTTTTTTTTTTTAATTTGAGAGAGACTCGCTCTGTCACCCATGCTGGAGTGTGGCACGATCACAGCTCATTGCAGCCTTGACCTCCTCAGTGCAAGGGATCCTCTAGCCTCAGCTCCCCTCCCCCGCCCCGAGTAGCTGGGACTGCAGGCATGCGCCACCATTCCCTATTAATCCTACTAATTTTTGTATTTTTTGTAGAGATGAGGTTTTGCCATGTTGTCCAGGCTGGTCTCGAACTCCTGAGCTCAAGCAATCGGCCCGTCTCAGCCTCCCAAACTGTTTTTTTGTTTTGTTTTGTTTTTTTTTTTTTGAGATAGGGCATCACTCTGTCGCCTCGGCTGGAGTGCAGTGTGCAATCATGGCTCATTACAGCCTCTGCTTCCCAGGCTCATATGATTCTCCTGCCTCAGCCTCCTGAGTAGCTGAGACTACAGGGATACACCACCATGCCTGGCTAATATATATGTCTTTTTGTAGAGATGGAGGTGTTTTGTGATGTTTCCCAGGCTGGTCTTGAGCTGCTGGACTCACCTGACTCTCCTGCATCAGCCTCCCAAAGTGCTGCGATTATAGTCATGAGCTGCCATACTCAGCCTCTTTTCCTACTTTTGAAAGTATGATCTTTTCAAAATGCACAGCAGATTATTCCATCTTCCTCCTTTAAAGCCTCCAGTAGTTTGCTTGTTGTACTTTGTACAACATTCAAAGTTCCTATACGGATCTGTAATGCCCTACACAATCTAGTTCTTGCCTACTTTTCCATCCTGATCTCAAACCTCAACCCCTTGCTCGCTACCTGTTCCCCAGTCTCAGTGGCCTTCTAGCCATTTCTGGGTGACCTTTTTCCTGCTGTAAGCCATATGCCCATTTTATCTTGTGGTCTTGGGTTCCTGGGGATCTGTTCTTCGTTTCTGCTTCCCCTGGCTGGCTCCTTCCCAACCTTCAGGATTCAGAGCCTGTCCCTACTATCCTGCCTAAAGTAGTTCTGTCAGATTCATTAATTCATGAAGGAACTAGCAGGTGGTAAAACTGGTTCAAGAGAGTATAGAGAGTCAGACTTATTTATAGTCATAGAAAGAAAGGATACTGAAATAGAATTGCTAAATTAGGTATAAACCTGATTAACACCCTACAGGGTAATACAAGTACAACATGGCTGTTGTATTTTTTTCTAAGATGAACATATTTGCATTGCCATCAGACAAGAATTACTTGTTAGCTAACAGTTTTTTCCAAGTTAATATCTACCCTTTCAGGATTATCAAATGCCCAACCAAGAGTAAACAATAAGTCAGAGCAGAAGTCCATATCCCTAGGAAGTGAGGTGATCCTAGGGTGGGCCTGCTGGTTAATGCTTCTGCAGGGCAATCTCCTCCCCACTTTGTTCTTTCCCAGCATCTGTTTCCTGATAGTACTTAGCAGAGTTTGTAAATATTCCTTACAGGTTTCACTAGTTTTTTGTCTGTCTTCTTCACTTTTCCAGCTTACATAAGCTGTGGGGGAAGAGGATCTGGCGCCCCTTGCATTGTGAGGCATTATAGGCACTCAGTGTGTATTGGTTGAATGAATAAGTGAAGAGATGCCTGTTTATGCATGGGGAGGGTGTCTTAATCATCTGTCATTCTTTAGTCTAAAACGATTGGAATTTGGATTCTCCTGGAACTCCAGAGGAGTTTTTACAGAAGTCATCTCAGTCTGCATATCATCTTTCTCAGGCACTGATTTTCAACCTTGTCTGTACTTGAGAATCACCTGGAGAGCTTTAAATATAAAGTAAAAAATACAGATGCCTGGGTCCATCTCCAGAAATTCTCATTTCATTTGTCTGAGATCCAGTCTGAGCATCAGGATTTTTAACAGCTTTCCAGGTGATTCTTATATGGAGACAAGTTTGAGAATGAAAGCTGCATCAAGCATTTTCAAGAGCTTTGCTTAAACTGTGTATCTGTGTGTGTGTGTGTGTGTGTTGCGCGCGCACGTATGGTTATAGTAGCTGCAACTGGACTAGGGTGCTGCACGGCACTAGGTATCTCTCTAGCTCCACCCTAGTCTGAGCTGGGGTTAAACAGATGGTAAAACAGCTTACTTGGAAGGCAGAAAAAAAGAAGGTGAAAATTGAGGACTGGTAGAGAATTTCTGATGAGGAAATCATGTGGTGAACATTTGCCCTGGGACCTGCTGTTACCTTTCTTTCCAGGGTCTGAATTTGAGCACATGTGAGGACTGAGGGAAGGTTAGGAGGGACCTAGAGTAGGGTTTCTCATCATTTTTGTGCCAGGAG